ASCAAAGACTTCAGGCTGYCCTGTCTGAATTGGATTCTCCTTTGGAGCTTGCAGCAGGCTGCAGTGGAAGGACAGACTCATCTCTTGGGGAAAAAACAAGTATTTTTGGCATTCCAAGGTGCTTTTCAGGGTCTAGCTTCTAGATTGAAGTTGCCATCATCTCATCTCTCAGTACATTTTGGGGCTCTCAGCATTATTTCWGTTCTCTTCTTCTACAGTTTGGGGAATGACTGAAATGCTCAAATTTGTGCCCAGCTAGATCCATATTGCATGGATGATGTGCATTAGCTGCACATGAAATCTCTTGATGTCCACTCAATGAGTGGCCTAAAGCTGTTCCTKTTTTCTAGTTCTTTACCTTATGGCCCTTCAGAGTGAGGATTTTTCTGAACTATGATGCTTTTGATATATTTGCCTGATTTACAACCAGTTTCTACTCTTATAAATATAATCCCCACCTATTTATTTCTTTTTCTTTCGGTGGAAGAGCAGCTCTTTGCTCAGGAGATTGATGGTGACTGATTCTATTTCTTTTATATCCTATTCATCTTGGTCCTGTGATGTGTAACTGGTGTGTGCTGCCCAGCTAAAGGTGCTCTGCATGTCAGCAAGAATCATCTTCAAAGGTGACAGAGTGCAGAGGAGCCTGYTGTCTCACTGCAGCCATAGTCTGTCATATTTTTGTTCTGAATCTGAGAGGATATTGTGAGCTTACTTCTGTTTTGTGCRYTGAATCTCTTYAGGTCAAAGTCATTAACTTAAATTSAGACAAATAGTTTTGTYATCAGCCATAGTTGGTGTATTTTTGGAATATGAATGGTAAGAATTTGAAGAGGACAAACCAGAAGCTTCATAAGAAGTAGAGCTTCATGAAGAGAAACAGTTTGAATATTTGTAGTGGAATATTAGAGGAAGCTTCTGATACAATTAAAACCAAATTCATCTAAATCCTCTTGTGGGTCAGGCACTTGCTATTGCCTTTACACCCATGACATCTTTATCAGGTTCTCTTCAACAGCTCCTTCAGAGCTAARGAGCTTTAGGAGCTGCAAATGAATCATAACCCCTCTTCTGAGATAAGCCTACTGCAACTTGTCACAGCTCTACCGAAGATTAGTTGCACCTTTTGGAAAAACGTTTTGTCTTGTTCATTGATTTGAATACTATAACTCTAAGAACTGATATTCAGGTATTTTAATAGTGAAATATCTTGTGAGTAGTTACTCTTCTGTAGTGGCATTTCAGCAGGAGAGAGCTCTTTGTCAAATCTCCTCTGTGATTTTGTTGCAGCAAACAAGGTCCTCTAGAGATCTCTGTTATGGCCAAACATGGGATTATGGTACAGCAAGAAATTGAGTTGTGAAGTTGCATGAACTTGGTTTTTTTAGTGTGTCTGGTTATGATTGTTTCCAGTATAGTATTGTGAAGTAGATGTTTAATATACTCTTATTTAATGTGTTAATACAACTGAATGGTGGAATTAAATGTTTATATTCAATGCACTTTTATTCAAAGAAGTGGAAAAGATACCAGAAAAAAATAGTTATCCCTGTGATGTGAAACCAAAAGCATTAAACACTGGTGACAAATCCACGTCAAGTCAGTTGTCTTGAATACTCGTACTGTGATTTCAAAATTCATTTGGAAATTATAATCTTCTATTTTATCACCTAAACTACTGTGATCACTAGAACACTCAGCAACATTGTGCCTTCTGTGATAGGGTGGACTCAAAAACAGCAAGCACGAATGCACCCTGTCCTCACAAGAATATATCCACGAGCTGCGGTCTGGAATTTCAGATGAAAAACTTCTTAATTGCCTGGAGTCTCTGAGAGTGTCTCTAACCAGCAACCCAGTCAGGTAGGCAGAGCAATTTCTGMAGCAGTTTTCATCATGCTGTGTTTGCTAAGCAGGAGTTGTGGGGTTTGGGKTTTTTTGAAAACAGAGTAATTRTGCTRSTGCTGTTGAGAGGMGAACCCTGGAAAAGGATGAGTGAAATCTCTGCAATATCTCCTCACCTTTCACAGTGGCTTTCATCAATTTGTATTTGTTGGAGCTGTTTGTCTTCATGGCTGRTCAGGTCTTCTGGGAAGTGAGACCAAAAGTGCCACCCTCCAGTAATGGAGAAATAACTTCGCAAGTTTTACATTTCATTAAGAAATAATTAAAAGAATTTCTATTCTTTTTTTTTTTTTTTTCCAGCTGGGTTAACAATTTTGGACATGAAGGTCTTGGGCTTCTGTTGGATGCATTGGAAAAGCTTCTGGACAAGAAACAGTAAGGACCTGGATCATTTGAAGGGAGGGGTGGGGAGCTCRTGAAGATTTTCCTGATGTGATTTTCCTCCTTTCTTTCAAGGCAAGAAAGTATTGATAAGAAGAATCAACATAAACTTATCCAGTGCCTCAAAGCATTTATGAACAATAAAGTAAGCATTATTTTAAATTCTGATACTTGTTTTTTGTTGAGTTCAAGATGTGCACAGTATGTTAAATCCTGGAGAGAGAAGGAAAGTTTCCATCTGCAGTTTTGTTAACTCTTTGGAAATGCAGTTTTAGAGTAACTTCTATTGAGAGTCTTCTTCATGAGCCTTTCTCAGTTTGCATTTTTTCTTAATTTTCTTAAATGCTATTGATTTTTGGAAGTAAAATATTTAATAAAGAGAGGATGATGRTATAAATTTAAGGTAAATGATTTGGAAATTAAATAATTGGAAACTGAGAAAAATACAGCTTACTAAATTTGGATTTCAGTACATGACTGTTAATGTACATCTCACTTGATTTTAAGTTGAGGAGGATTTGTTCTGTTTTTAGCTGCAGTTTTTAAGTTCAAATGTCATGGGTRAAGGATTTGGTTAAGTTGTATTTAATTGGTTTCTAACACAGGTTACTCATAAAGCCTGAGTACTGTTTCTAGAAGTGTTTCTGATRTGTTAAACTTGTAATTTTGCTCTATTCATAGAAAAATCTGAACTCCTGTTTTTATGTATCCTATCCAGCAAATCAAGCTGCTTAAAAGTTGCTTATAAGTATTTTTACACAATTTAGAAGAATCTCACAAAATAGCTTGTCTAATGATGTGGAAGAAAAGCAGAGGAGTTTCAGATATAGATGGAAAATAACCCCAATTTATCTTTTGGTGGGCACTGATTTTGCAAGGTGTCCTTGTGAGGAGCTGATTCTGTGTCAGGAGAAATCCTCAGTGCAGGACTGGGGACACAGACCCAGCTCCCCAAGAAATGATRTCTGGGGGTGGTTTTGGTAGAATTTTGTAAGTGTTGCCAAACTCGCTGTGGGAGAATTCCTAAGGATCTTATCCCAAATGTGGTGAGGAGCACCCAAGGCAACTCCAACCTTTTCACTGTGAGCTTTTTGTTTCTCTAAGTACGGTTTGCAAAGGATTCTTGGGGATGAAAGGAGTCTTCTGCTGCTGTCGAGAGCAATTGATCCAAAGCAGCCACACATGATGACTGAAACGGTGAAAATCCTTTCTGCCCTCTGCATTGTAGGAGAGGAAAACATGTAAGTGAGATRTTGGAGCTTTTTCTTTTCATGCTTATGAGTTGTGAATTTGGAYACAGGTGAGAAAACCTGTCAGTGAGACAAATGTAACCTATTAAGTYTTTTCTTTATTAATGGAGTTTGAAATTAAAGAGACTTCAGCTGCTGTGATGCCTTAATCTGGTAATAAATCAGAGAAAAGCAAATGAGCAGGGCCCTACACACTTTGGCTGAAGTGGAAGGTCTGAAAGGACAAATTACTTCCCTATCACAGGAACAGGAACTTTGCATTTACAGCTGGAGTTTGAAACAGTTCAACTTKCAGAGTTATTTAGCACTTGCCCACTGAATTTTTTAAAAGGAAGATAATCACTTGGAATATGTTTTTTTAAATTCATCATTATGTTTATTTACTGAAGGTTAAAGTGAGCAAACTTCCTGTCTTCTATGCAATAAAYAGATTAAAACATTTTGATTTCTGACTGAATTAGAATATTTTGGTGAAAGGACAATTTATTAGAATTTCCAGGTGTTRAACATGTCAGTTGTTATCAAGTACACAGCCATACAAAGGCAGTGATCATTTCCCCCTCATTGCTTATTTCTTAGCTGAAATAATAATATAGAGATTTATTCCCCCATTTTTTATTACTTCAATATATACTTTGTAGATATTTTTAACACTTGGTTCATGGTTTGTTTTCAGCTTTATGCAGATTTAAACTCTGTCAGTGCACTGAAGTCTTGAGCTGTGTAGATATGGGCTGAGCATGTGTAAAATGAGCTGTAAGGTGGCTGTGCTGGGCTTTTCTGACAGTTTGTCTTTCTCTTAGGCTGGACAAGCTTTTAGGTGCTATAACAACTGCTGCTGAGAGGCACAGCAGGGATGAACGGTTTTCTCAGATTGTTGAAGGCCTGGAGAACCACGAGTTCATACAGCTGCAGGTGAGCTGGCTTTTCTGTGTGTTCCCTTCAGAGATCAGCAAAAATGCCTGAATTCTGCTTTGTGATCTTGAAATAATTGACACTCAAAATCTTTTAGTGCTGTTAAACYACTGGTSAGTAAAAGAGCAGAAATAAATACYRATAAATKCTRCTGGTATTAGATTTTCTACTTGTTAKTGGTGTGAAACCAAGGAACTCAATTCCTGTCCCATAAATAGGATTAACACATTTTAACCTTAGTAAAGAGAGTAATTAGTGATATTTCTTTTCTTGGATGCCACATGTAATGTTCAGGTAACAAATCTGTTCCTGGTGCTGGGACTTCTGGCAGCAATACTTGTAGCCTTTTGAATATTCAGATATATGGAAATGATGAAGGTGGGCTGAGTGAAGTGCAGCAGGATATCCTTGGTACCTTTGTCAAGGACTCTGCATTCCTTTTTGTGTGTTCAGCCAGTGCCTTTCATCAGACCATAGTGCTTCTCTAAGGGTACTCTAGTGAGTTTTAAAAATTATTTTAATAAAATAATAAAGTAAACACTGTGCCAGTGRCTTTTACTAAGTCCTGGCCTAGATCATGCTCATTGCTGCTTGTGTGTCAGTGGATAGAGGTTTTTATTCTCTGTGGGYACTTTACTGGCTTAAGAGTTTTGGTTGCTGTTCAAATGCCAGCTTTTTTAATTGGGTTTTTGGGTTTGGGTTTTTTTGGTACTGCAATGTTTGCATGGAGGCCAAATGGCTGAATATCCTATCAAAGGATGACTTTGACTTATTTTCTTTCTATAATACAGCATCTATGCACATTCTGTACTAAAATTTCTATTTCAGCTACCTTGGCTGAAAGCTGTGGACAGGTACAATGCCAGCAGGGCAGGTATCCTTGGGATGCCTTTTTCCAGTCTTGGATCAAATCCCCATCAGCTGGAGCTGCCCTAAGCTGTGTTTACCATCAGCACCTCCTGTTTTGGAGCTGATGAGTTAATGATGCTCWGTAAATTCCTAGAAATGACATTGTGATCTGAACAGTGCTGTCACTGAGGGATTCATTCTGAACTTGTCTCCTCCTTTATGACTTGGTTGACTTAARGCAAACAAAACCAAGCACACTCCATTCCTGCCAAGCTCCCCCTCCCAAGGCTCCTGGTACCTCAGTGAAGGTACAACTGCAAGACTCATTACCTTGGTTCTGACAAAATCGTTCTTTACTTGTAATGTATTAGCACAAGCCATTAAGCCAGAGTCTCTCCTGGCAGCAGCAATCAGAGCAGATGGCACCTCTTCTCTCTATTAATTTCAGATTGGACATGTTCTTTGGCTTGTTAAGTCGTGTCATAGTAGTAAAATAACAAGAGCCATTCAAGCAAGCACGATGATACTGCATTATCTGAAGATGCTGCTCCATAAAGAGAGTGCCTTTGAAAGGTGTTTTAATAGAAATGTGAGACTCCATAAGGTGTTCTATTAAAGCTAAATAGTGAATGTAATTAAAACAGGRAGGGTGCTTTTTATCTGATTTTTTTCCTCTGCAGCTATCGATTTTTTTTTTGGTCCTATTCTAATGCTACTTCTATTTGCAGTTAACATCTTTTACCAAACTTGGTATTTCCCTTGAGTCCTATTTAATTCTTTTAACGTGGATCAGCACTTKTGGCATTATACTATTGTCTACCTGTTTTCAAGTAAATCAATTAAAGTGCCCAGCTGTTCAATTAAAACATTAGCCACCATCCTGAGACCTGAGGCATTTTGCAGAAGTGCTCTGYAGGAATAGAAAAAACACCTGSTGATGTGACTTACTTGGRTATGGGTGGTTTTTGGGTGGTTCTAAAGTAGGATTTTCAAAGTTTTTAATTTTTGTAGAAACAGTTTGTTTTCAAACTGATGAATACTGATGAGAAAGAGAAGGAGTTGCAATGAGCAGCTTCAGTTTGGGAATAAYTTGTCTGATTTTAGGATGGSAGGCCCTGGCACAGGGTGCCCAGAGAAGCTGTGGCTGCCCCTGGATCCCTKKSAGTGCCCAAGGCCAGGCTGGACATTGGGRTTTGAAGCWCTCTGGGACAGWGGGAGGTGTCCCTGCCATGGCAGGGGTGRCACTGGATGGGCTTTAARRTCCTTTCCAMCTCCAACCATTCTGTGATGATCATTCATGTGGAACTATTTGACACAGTGGAAGCATCATCATGGAGACAGAGCAGCATTTGATATTGCTAAAATTACCCCAAGTGTTGCATGTGTGATGCACAATAAATAATAGCCATGTCTTTGGTTTATAATTGAACTGAAATAATTCATTTTGTGTTTCTGATAACAGGTGGCCTGTATGCAGCTCATCAATGCCCTTGTCACATCTCCAGACGATCTCGATTTCAGGATACACCTGAGAAATGARTTCTTACGCTGTGGCCTGAAGAAAATACTGCCTGTAAGTCATTTTGTACAGGAATTGTACAATCACATTGTCCATTGTGAATATTGGAGATACCAAACTATGTAACCAGAACAGCAGAGGGGAAGGGTTGGAGTGGGGAAGGTCAGAATATCAATCCAAATCTCTTTTCAATCCACAGATTTACAAATGTAGGTAAATCAGCATAGCAGTTTTAACCAGTCAATATATCAGAAATTAAATTAAGGTAGTCAAATTCRGCATAATGAGCTCAAAGCTCATGCAGTGAATGTGAATCTGGCTGTGGAACCAATCTTGGATTAACTTTCTTTATRTGTGCTGTTCCTGTTGTTTTTTGTGAAATCTGTTTTTCTTTAATCTGCCTGCTGAAAATGCACTGGGCCATTTTAAGGAAAAATCAACACATTCCTCCTCTTTGAGGATGCATGTCTTCCTGCAGCTGCACTGCCAGGAATATTTCTGACTTAGGGATAAATTTGTAGCTCTTAACCAAGAAATACATCAAAATATGTGTATTTAAGGTACTCATCATTTTCTCACAAAAGATGCTGTGGCCTATATTAACTTAGTAACAGAAATTGCAAGAATGTCTTCTTTCCAATTCTTTAGGCTTCTTAGGCTCACATTCATTAATGTTTTGAAATATATTTATTGTGGTTTTTTTAAAGGAACTCTGATATTAACAAGCAGGAGCTGTTGTGTCCCATTAAGAGAACTTGATTCAACTGGAAATTTTCTTGTTTGTTCTGTAGCCCAAACCTGCTCTGTGAGCTGATATTTTGCCTTTAGTTTTTCTCAGTTGTATCATTACAATAAAAGATGCCCAGGCACTGAGTTACAGCTTTCTCCTGTTCTAAAGGTTAATGCTTCTATTTTGTCATGATACAATCCTTCAAGTGGGGGCAATTCTTGCTTTTCAAAAGGAAAAATTAAGATATACTCTACCTTGACAAACAGGCCTTGAAAGATAAGGAAAATGATGAGCTTGATATTCAGCTGAGGGTGTTTGATGAGAACAAAGATGAAGACCACTTTGAACTGTCACATCGTCTCAATGATATCAAAGCTGAGATGGAATATCCTTTAAGGAAATGCTGTTGGAACTGGTGTTGTTTYAGAACTGTCTTAAATGGAAATTACAGTGCTCTACATGCAGGTTATTTGTCGCAGTTGTGTGTCTTACCAGGGACTTTGTCAAGCAGATTTCTCTCCAGTTGCTTTTTTTGTTAGAAAATATTTAGATAATTAGTGCTTAAATTTGCATGTCAAATRTAAGTCATTGGGAACTGAATTAATTTTTCATAAATAACATTTATTAAGCTAAACTCTGTCTCATAATACATGAAGRGAGAAAATTATACCCATGGAAGATCATAAAGTTTGAAGAGAAATGAGTTTTGATAATAAAAAGAACACAATTTCCAGTAGGTTCTAAGCACTTCACGTGTGCCTTTTCTAAATGTGAAGCAGCAATAAATTCCAAGTTCCCTAAGCTCAGAAGGGCTGCTTGCAGTTTTTAGGAGGAWGCAGGGGGAGGTGAAGGCAATCAATGAGAGGGCTATAAAATCCCATTTTATATTGTTGCTTTGCAAAACAGGTCATTACAGGTAATGGTCATCTTTAGGAAATCCAAATGATTGACCAGAGTGTGTTTGCCAATAGCCWGGCTCACCTCAGAGGGGAAACAAAGCTGTGTGTGATCATTTTATAGGATTCTGAGGCACTAAGTGTGCACTATGATTGGTGTGACTAATAATGAAACATGTCCTAATTGTTAAACAGAGCACAGAGGTTCTGTGCATGATCTTAATGGAAGAATCATATTCACTGCTAAGGAAAGGARTTCAAAGTGTGGAGGGGTTTTATTTGAACAATATGGAAAATGTCTGGGGTGAGTGTTCTGTGGTGCAGTGGGGTTTTTTTGTCTTTGGTTGTATTTTTAAGTTTTTTGTTTTTTGAGTACTCGTTTTCCTTAATACATTCACTGATGTGAGCGAAGTATTTCATCTGCTGTATAACATGGTGAAAGATACTTCTTCTGAAAATTACTTCTTGTCAATTCTCCAACATTTCCTTCTGATCAGGAACGATTACTATGTCCGGTAAGTGCCCGCTGCCAGCGTGGATTCCTGGAGGGAGGAGGGTCAGAATAGAAATCAAGACTATGGTAAACTGAGTGGCTCATAATCATGCCTAAAAAGTCTCTCTGAGACTGATGTGTTCCTTATCTTTCTGCTCAGTGTTCATATTTTAAAGATCTTGGTAAATAAAATAATGCTTGTCATAGTCTAACATTCTCATCCCAAAAATCTCTCAACTTGTTGGGCACTTTTTCTTTATTCAAGTTTGATACCTTCATTGCTTTAAAGAGCATAGAAGTTGTACAATTAATAATTGTGAATACTCCCACATGTCTTGTGTCTGTTTTTGTCATTGTAAACTGCTGTTATGTGCTGCTGGGTGTCTCAGCAGCTGCAAGGTACCATATCCAAAATATTTACAAATAAGAGGACAAATAAGACTTTTAACTTGATACTTTTACAGGGAATTGTATAATTTGTGTATTAGGACTTAGTTGCCCCCTGTTCCCCTCAATTACATAAATGCTTGTTCATGTTGTAAAACATAAAATTTTTACATCTTTACATTGTTCATTTTACCATCTTCACATTGTTTCCTGTTTTAGACCTCAGTATTACAAGATCATAGAAGAATGTGTKTCACAGATCGTGTTGCACTGCAGTGGCATGGAYCCGGATTTTAAATACAGAGGAAGAATGGACATYAATTTTACACATCTTGTTGGTTTGTACACTTTAAGCAGTTTTACCTTGTTTCACTTTTTGTTCTTCTGTCTCAAATTATACTGACTGTGAAGTCTTTCAGTTTTCTGAAAATACACGTGTAAGCTCCAGGTGTACTTGTGGAGTATCAGATCAAATGCTGGAGCCTTTAATGAAATCAGAGAGTGTGAAAAAAAATTATCTGTTTCTTTTGTGTCGTGGGCTCACAGGATAATTATGGTTGGAAGGCACCTCAGAGCTGTKATGTTTTACTTGACCTGTGTCTGGTGTTTTATTTAAATTCTAGATGCGTGTGTGGACAAAGCTAAAGTAGAAGAGAGTGARAAGAAAGCAGCAGAATTTTCCAGAAAGGTGAGTCCTATTCATGGTTCTCTTTAAAGTGTGGAACAGAATCCTGACAGGAGCTGGGCAAAGATTTTGTGAAAATATAGGCTTCTAGTGTGGACAGAAGTGACCAACCCCTCCTTGTTCAATCCTTACAGTTTGATGAAGAGTTCACAGCTCGACAAGAGGCACAAGCAGAGCTCCAGAAACGAGAAGAGAAAATCAAAGAACTTGAAACAGAAGTCAAACAGCTACGAACCCAGGTAATAAAACCCTATCACATTAAGGTCCAAGCTGAGTTGGAAAAAGAAATTGCCCCTGAGTGTCTCGTCTCTGTGGAGTTTGAAATGTCTGTTAGAGGTGTATTGATTTGTGTACAGCCAGCATGAGTTACTAAGGATAGTTAATGGAGGTAACATTTTTCAAATAGTAGTATATTCAACCTGTCACAGATACCTGCTTTATTGTGGAAAAAATTTTCCTTAGGCTATAAAAATCACAAATCCAGCCTGATTTCCTTTTTTTCCTGCATGTATTTGTTTATGCTTTCACATTGCTACTTCTGTATGTTTTGCAGAAAGTTTCTGTTTTGGAAGTCTTCATTTTTAAAGCCTTTCGATTTTATATATTTTTTACTCTTGTATTTTTATATAGGCCTTTTTTATTATTATTTTTACACCAGCTTTGGGTTTTAGATAGGCCATTTATACCCTTGGGGAATTAACAGATATGATGGTTTGGTGGTTTTGCTTCCCCCTGTCTTACTTTGTGCTCCTTCAGTTCTAGGCAGGGTCTGCCTATTGCCTTTTAATCTTTGTTTTCACTATCTTAATGCCTGTGCTTTTTGGACAGTCAGGTGGAGAAAGACACTGCTGTTCCTGCTTCCTTCTTGCCAATTTTCATGTTKGTTAYAAATTTCTACAAGAYAGTGATACACTGAAATTTGACAGTSTGATTTAATGACTGCTCCACCAATTGTTGCGTTATAACTTGTGGGCCAAAGAAACACAGGCCTTGTACACAGTCAAAAATGTATTTTTAGTCTAGTTAATTATTAATCCTATTTTACTGATTCTAACACAGTTCAGATTATTCAGGCATTATAGTAATGATGACCATTGGTTAATTAACTGTAATTCTAGAATCTGTTCTTTTTTCTAGTGTTATGCTCCCCATAGAATCTAAGATGGTACTTATTTCCCGATACACTCACAATGGTTTGACATGCTGCTGTTTCTCTTCCTTGCTCCTTTTACAACTTGTGAGAGTGGGAATTGCAATTGCATTTTCTTCCTCCCCAAAGATTTAACAGCCAGCAGACTGGGTTGTTGCACATCTCCACTCCCCAGGATGTCAGGATAGTTCTGAACACCGTGGTCCTGTAACCTCTTGCTCTGTAGTAGCTGTTTCACTGATTGCTGGGAACATTTCCCACCAGCAGATGAGTGTTGTTAAAATTCACCGTGGTTATTCTCATCTCYGATGCCCCAGCTTGCCGGGGTGTCCTAAGTGGGATAAATGTTTTGTGCATTGGTAAGAAATAAAATGCTGTTCTGTTCACTTAAATGATACTGCTACTATTAAATTTTCTTTAAAATTGAAACAATTTGTTTTTATAAAAATGCTAGGTTATTCAGTTTACTTGGCAGTTTTATGGTATGTGGTATAATCTATTGTTATTGTTTCTCATTTAAATAGGAGAACAGTTGCATTTCTCACTTTSTTGAGGTGCAGTTGACTAAAAGCCATCCTGGTTGGTTCAGCTTTGTATCCAAGATGACAAGAATTCCTCTTTTATGTTTCAGGGTCCAGTCCAGCTGACAGAAGTCCCAGGGTTACCTCCAGCCCTCCCAAGTGAGAATGCAGCACCACCTCCAGCGCCTCCCCTCCCTGGCGGAGCAGCAATTCCTCCTCCTCCTCCCCTCCCTGGCGGAGCAGTGATCCCTCCTCCTCCTCCTYTACCTGGAGGAGCAKCAATYCCTCCTCCTCCTCCTTTACCTGGAGGAGCAGCCATCCCTCCTCCTCCTCCTTTACCCGGGGGATCGATGATTCCTCCCCCTCCGCCGTTACCCGGAGCAGGAGGAGCAGGAGGAGCTCTCCCTCCTCCACCGCCGCCTCTGCCCGGTGGCTTCATGCCGCCCCCTCCTCCCCCTCTGCCCGGCGGGGCTGTGCCCCCTCCTCCCCCTCTGCCCGGGGCTGGGGGTGTTCCTCCTCCTCCTCCCCTTCCCGGGGGTGCAGGACCTCCTCCTCCTCCTCCTCCCTTGCCCGGAGGGGGTATCCCCCCACCACCCTTCGGAGGGCCCCCAATGCCACCCCCTCTCGGGGGGGTTCCTTTYGCCCCCTTCCCGGTGATGCCAGCCTTGCCACACGGGATGAAGGAGAAGAAGAAGTACAAGCTGGAAGTGTCCATGAAGAGAATCAACTGGTCTAAGGTATGGCAAGGGTTGTGCAGCTGGTGACCCTTCCCCTGTCACTCTGCAGACTCAGTGGTACCGTGTACTTTGATGGGTTTTTAAATGAGGTCCATCTTGGCAGAACTACTTGTTGTACTGAGCCAAATTTGTTCCCATCCACTGTCTCAGGTGCAATCAACATGAGTTGCAGCTTTGCATCAAGTTGTATATAAATATTTTTTTATCTCCAAACTGTTTTAAAGCAGCTTTCACACATTCCTAGCMAAAAMMYCCAACTTRAGCTTTTTAAATTCATGATGTTTARTGTAGTTGGAAGTTCAGAGAGTCAGGCCTTAATGGTACTTGTRGATTGTTTATCCAAGATGTTTATTGGCTGTTCTCAATTAGTGATGTTCTGGAGCAGGGCTGTGGCCACTGGGAGGAGCAATGGGACTGCTCAAGGGAAAGGTTTGGGCACCATGAGCTTCCTGGGTCTTAACGTGGTTATATTTAATCACACTGCATTTCTGAAATCACCTGAAAATACAAACTTTGCTTTAGCAGTAAACTACAAGCACACTCTGATATGCAAACAAACCCTTGAAGCAGTTCCTATTCTTACTTGCCTCTCAGTATATTCAGTGACTCTAAAACCAGAGAATTTACTCAAACACCCAGGTGTGTGCTGGGGTGTGTTGCTTTAAAACCCATCTTTGATCAGTGTAGCCACTGCTTCTTCCATTTAAAGGAAATAAATATCAAGCATTGGACAATTACATCTGTTATCAAGATGAAATCACATTCTAAAGGCAGGTTGTGGTTGGCAGTTTTTTATTGGAATAAAAAACAGTTCTAAAAAAACAGTTTCAGATCTTGGGTTCCTCTTAATTCGGAAGTGTTGAGCAATGAGATTTCTCTCTTTGGAGTAACAAAACAGAGCCTATCATGAATGAATAATCCAACGAATTTTGGAAGGACTCTAGAAAATCTCTGTGGAAATGCATGGTGCATCAATTTATAGTTTTTCTTGGCAGAAGAATTAATGCTTCAATGATTTCAAATGATTTCAAAATATTTGGAGATGTGCTAAAATAATCAGAAAGTGTATCTAGCAGTGGTGGTTTAAAAACAGGCTTTCAATATATTTGACTAGAAAGATATGGAAAATAGCCAGCCGTCTTTTTAGTGTTTTAATTTAAATAAATTTTAAAAGAAATTTGAAAATATTTTCTTCTTCTGCCTGTAATTCTTGTCAAATCATCTGTATATAAGGATAAGTGAAAAACTTTCATTTTTTTATTGTGGGAAGAAGAATTAACAATATCAAGGGAGAAAAAACTGCATTGCAAGAATTTTGTAACTGAAGCACAGATTGCCGTCCTGTAAACATACAGAAAAGCAAGCTTTTATTTGATAATACATATTGGTAATTGCAGCCAATTTCCTTGTAATCAGTCACATTGGGGAGTTTATGGGAATAATTTATAAAGTGTCCATGTGAGCACTGGGTATGACAGTGGGAAGGAACTGCAGATGGACGCTTTGCTTAAGTGCTCTGGGAACGGTGCCAAGGATCTCCTGCCTACTGAGAGAGTGGAAAGTCTATTTGATCATCACTTTTAAGGAGCCATCATTTGAGGAATAAAATCCTTACTGTTTAATTTAGTCCCTTTTGCTGTAACTGTCTTCCCCATTAGTGTTGGATTAAGGTAGTTTTTTAAAATGCCTTCCCTGCAGCTGGGGGTGAAGCAGTGCTGGAAGGTGGAGGAGCAGTGTGTTGCAGGGAAATTGGAGTGAGGCTGACAAATACAGCATTTCTGAGTTCCCTGCATCTCATCTGGAAATTAAATAGCCCTTGGAAATTACTTGGCATTTAAATGAACTGATAAACAATAATTAATAATGTGTTGGAAGCTGTTAGAAGAATGTATTTTGAAAACAAAATAGCAGTTTTGAGTCACACATGGAGAGTGAAATGGTCTTTCAGCTTCTATATTGCAAAGCATTTTTTTCTTTTAGTGTAGTCAGTACAGAGTTAATCCTGATCACTGCAGGGTCCACATGGACAGTTCATTTACTGGTGAGTTCTTCCACAGAATTCCCAAATAGCAGGGGTACACAGCAGTGGGGAGGAATTTGGGAACTCAGTAGAAAGCAATCAAGAGAAAGCAAGAACATTTCATCAAACCCAGCTGCTGCTGTTCTCAGGGCTGTTTGGAAAACCTGTTGAATGGGAGGAATCCAATAAATCCAACCCTTTGGGGCTGAGGGCAGCCCATCCATGGTGTTTGTGCAGGAAGAACATCCCAGAGCAGAGCTGAGCTCCATTCAGCCCAATCACCACTAAAATTCAGTGGCATTTTTTTAACTCAGCCTTTGAAAACGCTGCTTATTGACTTGGGAAATGCTGTTTTTCTTTCAGATTGAGCCTCAAGAAATAGGAGAAAACAGCTTTTGGGTAAAAGCTGAAGAAGATAAATTTGAAGACCCCGAGCTGTTTGCAAAATTGGCACTTACCTTTGGAACCCAAATGAAAGGTACATTCTTACTTTTCTCTTTATTGTGCTTTTATTAAGTTTAAAACTGCAATGGCAGTTTCTTTTATGCTTTGTGCAATATTATGGAATTCATAGGATGGTTTTATAGCTGGAAGATGATTTAAAACATATATTAAGCATTACAGTCTATTACAAGAATTGCTCCTCCTTCACTTTACAGCGTGAGGGGAGGAATCTTTTTGCAATAATACCTTTTAAAAGTGCACTGTATGTTGCAGACAGATGTGAGTTTTCTTGTAGTGAAATTATAATTAAATTTAAATTCTGATTCTAAAATCATGTTTATTTGCATTGTTGTTCCTAGCCAAGAATTTTCAGGATTAAGAACTGCAGTTTTTTACTAATACAGTGTTTGAGAGGTTAACTCAGGAGGGGCTCTCACAGGATTGTACCTTTCTCCAACTGTTTGTTTCCTCAAGTTAATTCTGAATGTGTTTTTTGCTGTTTGAAGCCTCTTCCAAGAGTTGGTCCTGGCTGTGTTTGTCATAAGATAGTTGCACTTTCCACTTGTAGCTCATACTCCTTTCAGTACTGAATTTAAACCATTCAAATTCTCCTTTTACAACACACCTTAGAACCACTTTGTGGCCTAAATGTTCAGATATTGCATGCAGTAAAACAAAAGCATCCTTTGCAGTAATTTAAGATTCTTTTCCATGCCAAAGTTGGATTGATTCTCGGTTCCTAGCACTGCAGGGAGGGTAAAATGATGTGGAGTTGGTCACTTGTAGTGTGACAGGAGGACATTTAAGGGAAGGAATGCCCAGCAGTGGTGACACAATGGCATGAGCCCCTTCTTAATGCAAAGGACAGGCTTCTGCCTTGAGCTGAGTCCTTTCATCACAAATCTGAAGAAATGTTTCTGAATTCCTGAAAAGCTTCTTCATTAGAAATGCTGAAAAAACCCTCTTGAAATTTTGACACAGCTGACAGTTTGCTCTGAGAAGAAATTCTTGTTGACATGGTTGCAGAGTTCTGAAAGTGGGAGAACAGAAACTCCTCAAATGGCTTTGTGTGGTGATAGCCTTGCAGATATTTTTCCTGTTCTTATTTATGTAGTTCTCATTAAATGATTGTAGAAAATAAGATGCCAGAGCAAAGGATGCACATTAAAAATGCTACTGCATGGTACTCAGGATATGAAAATCTTACTTGGCAACTCCTACAGAAAGACAGGGTTGTCTGGCTTTGAGTTCATGGTGTTTTTTAACTTGAAAACCTACTAGAAGTCAAGAAGACTCTGAGTATTTAGTTGAAGCACAAATAATTTCATTCCAGAAAGAGCTTTTATCTGGAAACATGGAATGGTGTTCACTGTTCTTCCTCCCCTTTTGCCTTCAGAGTCACAAACAGCTCAGTGATGCTCAAGTACCTATTTGAAGCATCATCTGGGATCAAATTTATCTTCTGCTTTTGTCCCATTTCTTGAAGTTGTCTCCCTGTACTTTATGGGAGAATGATAAAAAGGCAAACAGAAATTAGTGTGATATTCTCTCAAGAGCACAGTCAGCATGAAAAACAAACAAATGGATGAGTGGAAGCAGACTGACAATTGCCAAAAGCAGTTGTGGTGGCTGAGTGTTTACTCTCGTGTTCTGGGGCATTTTGGAATGCCACTGGGAATAGGAGCTGAAGTAAAAGAAATGGCACATTTATTAAAAATTTGTAATTCCATGTAAGCTGCAGCACTGAAATTTGATTAAACCTCTGAATTCTGTTCATGATTCTTTGGCACAATGAGAAAAAAAAAGTGGTGAATTTTTCTCATTTAAACTAGTTTTGTTTTAGGATGTTCAAAAAATGTCTTAATGTTGGTTATCACTAAACTTTGAGCTGCCTTGCTGCTTGAGTGCTGTCTGTTTTAAAGGGATGCAGCCAGGGCTGAAGGGAAGTGGTGCTTTTGGAGGGAAATATTGCAATGAAGTTGAACAATACTTTTTGCTCAGTATATTAATGCAGGGGTTTTATATCTCAGGAAGCCTGGGCTACTGCTTTTTGGTAGAGTTAGGGGTGTGTGTGCGCCCTAATTCTGTAAAATTTCTATCTTAAAAGCCCCATCAACTGGAATTAAGAGTTTAAAATGTTGGTGTTCTTGTCAAGAACCTACTTAAATCTTTGGGATAATTTCCCAAGAATGCTGCATGGAGCATTCTTCTACCAAACTTTGCTTTTGTCCCAGAACTGATATGAATTTTTTTCTCTGGCCATCACTGGAAGGGAGAAGAGCAGCAGCACTGCCATGTCCTCAGTGCTCTGTGGGATATTATATCAAAAAACTCCCATTTAATGTCTGGAATGTTCAATACATTGAGAATTGTTGAATTGTCTCCTCACAGGTGCAGGTAAAGCCTGCCACACCCCATGTTTGAGCTCTCAGATAATTTGCAGGGATGTGACAATGCTCAGGGTGATTCTGCTATCAAAATCATTTCTCACAGTTTGATTGATTGGCTAATTGCAAAACACTGCAAAGGAAGTTAATGCCTTCTCCCTAAAGGATCGTGGTAATTTCTGGCTCTTGTAATTTAGGTTGTGTATTTTGCCAGTCAAGAATGATAGTGGTGCTCTGAAGAAATTAATTATGTGTACAGTAGATCTGTAAAGGTAGTAATTAGTACATAATAGTCTGTAACTACTGGGATTGTTCCAATACAGAATTCATTATCCATCCAACTTGCCTCAAGGGAAAACTTCTCGATCAGGGTTCTGTTGCTTTACAATTAGACTTTTAAAATATATTTCAATCATTTTCATATGTTTTCAAAACTGAAGTAAGGTCTCAATAGCTGAGTTGTATTTTTCACATTATGGGAATATGAGTGAGAAGGGACAAGAGAAAGTACAAACTTCATTGTAAGCTTTAATTGAGAAAAACATGAATAAAATGTTCAGGTTTTGATTTTTATATATTATATATATATATATATATATTTTATATTTATTTATATAATGTATATAATGGGTCAGCACAGCTTTGGACTTGAAGGAAAATTGTTTGCTTTCATTTGCATTTGATACTTGTAAATACAAGGAGCAGCAATTAGAACTTTTAAGAAATGACTTTGCATTTGCTATGCTGAGAAGCCTAGATCTGATTGATCAGAGAACTTCAACATTTGCAAGATTTGAAAGGGTTCAGCTTTGGCCAAATTCCCTTGAACTCAGCTCCATTTGTAGGTGTGAGCCAGCCAGACTCAGTGTGATTCAGAAATGTGGTGTTAAGCACGGATAGGTCACCCTGGTTCAGTTCCCTGTGCTGCTTTGCCAGCACAGAAATGAGGAAAAAAAATTTGCTTCTGGATTGCAAACTGCAGGTGGCTCCCTTGGCCTGCTGATGGTGCAGCTTCTGGGTTTGTTTCCCTTCCCTCTCCCCCTCTCCTGTGCAGAATTGAGGCAATCCCAAGCAGAGGAAGATGCAGTTTTTCAGTCAGGATCACCCAGCTCGTGGGGCACAGGGATCTCATTACTTGGATTGCACACTCAGATCATCACTCCTCGTATCTGTTCCACACAGAAGTGCAGTAGATTGGTTTGTTTTCATCTTTGACTGTATTTGAAATTGTTGTTTTTCAACAACAGAATAAATTCAAGTGCTATAAAGGAGAAGTAGTGAGTTATTAGTTTGCTGTTTTTCTCTTTCCTTTTCTTCTTTACTGGATTTATCCAATAGGCAAATTGTCAAACTGAGGGGTGAATAAAGCTTTGCATGGTTTAAATAAATTGCTACCTGAAATTATTGCCACCTAGCATGGATTTATATCTGTATTTTGATGTATTTTATGTACATTTTTTGAATTCTAAAAAAGTTAATATTTTTTCAGAGCATTGTTGCTCAATCAGAGAGTTCACATTGAGAAATTTGGACACTGTCTTAGTCAGCATTGCATAAAGTACTGCAATAATTGCACCCTCAGAAAATCAAATACAAAGAGTCTGTATGCAAATTAAATTATATTCAGATTAAGAGACAGGTGGGAAATAGTTGGAGGTCTGGGCTATTTGAAAGTTGCTATCATTATTCATGGATTGCTTGGAGGTGCAGCATAATGAATTCCACCCAGTTCCTATAGAATGGAGTTCATTTTCCGAATCAGCATTCTATCTGTTCTGAATCCAGGTCAAACTCTCTAATGTGGGGCCATTCCTTCAGTTCCACTTTAATTGGCAGCACTTAACCCTTCTGGAACATCACTAGGACAGGTTAGGCTTCCCTGCTGGAGTCTGGAGGAGCAAGGATTCCAAATAAGAAATCCTGCTGCTTATTTAGTGACTGGGCCCTGCTGCTCAGATTTTCTGCAAGTTCCAATTAGTAATTGAGTCCAAAAGCTTCAGCAGTAGAATTTAAAGAGAATTTAAATAGAATTGGAATGAGGACTGACATGTATTGTCTTAAAAGGGCTCTTCTATTTATAACAATGTTGTGACTGAGCTGCCTTAGTTACAATGTCTCATATTTCAGGTGGGTACTTACAGAATTCGTGTTTTAATTTGTTATACCTGAGCTCACACAGTCTGAAAACCTTCAAGAGAAAAGGTGGAAGAGCAGTTGTGACTATTAAAAAAAAAAAAAAAAGCCAGAGAAGGTGAACTCTCAAAAGCATCAGGTTTTTCCCACAAAGCAAATCAGTGCATTGGGTTTTTTCCTATATTTGATGTCTGGGATGTTCCCATTAGAGAAGTGTAAGAATCACAGACAAACGTGTTCCACAAGTGTGGAATTGCAGCCTGCTGTGTGCTAACTCTGGCTGTAGTTAGTGCTTTCTGTACCTGCTCCATGCCTGGTTTTTCTGCAGGAATTTTGTGTTTGTGGATAGAACAGAGCAGAGGAAGAAAGGCAGGTTTGTGTTCCAGCTGTCTGTGTGAGTGGTGATGCAGTGCTCAAATAAAGCCCAGCACGTTTAACGAGGAGCTGAGGACAGAGACACATGTACTCTGCACAGCAGCCAGAGGGATTGTGTACAAAGACTAATTAGCATGAA